AATGCGTGTAAGAGATGAGATGAGACGATTCAAGGAGATTGTAAGCAGCACAAACAGATTTAGTTAGAGTTTTCATGTAGTTTGGAGGGTTGTTTCAAATAACCGACTGTTCGTTTCACTGAAAACACTGATAGATTTATCGTCTAAAATTGTCGCCTCTAAATTCATATGCTACTCTGCATTGTGCAGCATTCCAGCTAACTGCTATATATATCCATTACCAACACGATATTTCACTAGCCACAATTTGAAACAACATTTCTGTTAAATGATGGTGCATTCACATCACACAGCCAATGCCGTCTCTCGATTCGCCTCTCAGTCTTGCTCAGCCTCATCATGTTCTTGACTGCAAAAGTGAGATGTAGGCGAGACAATTTTCCATCAGTCCGATTCATTCGCTTCAACTGTTTTGTGTGTGTGTGTCTGTCATGAGATTTGGTATGTAGTATAGTATACTTGTGATGTCTTCGACAGAAGTCACATCAACCTACAGGTGGATTTCAGACGAGAGAAATGAGGGAGGTGAGGAATACTCGTGTGGATTTCACGAAAATTTCAGAAAGACGTTGTATAGGCATAAGTTGGACAAGTTCTCTGTGCAATATACGTGTAAAGTTCTCCGTATTCGCTTAGCGTTGACTTAAATTCAATCAATGAGCATCTCTTCACTGATTCTCAACGACGCTTTCTTTGAACGACTAGTTATCTTCTCAGAGGAGAAACACATAATGGATGTGTGTGTACTGTGAGAATATTTGTAAACACGTTTGACAGTGTCCCACTGAGTGTACTGTCTTCTGCTTGTGTGTATATATTCAAAAAATTTGACTGTTATTTGGAGATAGCCACAAAAATGAACTGTAAATATATATGACTATACACATAGATAGACATATAGATGTTGACATTCACTGAAAAGTGGTCACTCATGGGACAACCAACGTTTGTTTCCATCAATATGAGTGAAAATCAATAATGGTATTTCGTTAGAAACAATTCTCTGCATAAGTTATGTTGTTAATTCCACATTACTAATGGAAGGTACTCCGATGCATTTATCTTCTCTGTCGTGTTCTCATTCCATCTATGAACATCTGCATAAATCGTTTCATGTGAATTATACAAATTACTTGAAGCACTTCATACTCATATTTATTTATATAGGTTTCACATCATATTTACACATTCAATTCACTCATCCTAACCCTCGTTTGTTTTTCAAATCGATAACAGTAGAAATGAATCACCAATCTTGAATTTTCTCTTATATTATGTGTGTACTCATTGATTGTTAATGTTAATGTGTGTTTGATATTCACCAAAATCTGTTAACTTCTGTCATGAAAACAGGGTAAGTTGTGTGTAATCAATGAACGTTAATTTTCATTTGAAGATAATTAAATTCAATCAACCTGTTTCTCATACTCGAAAACAATAACAGATATATACCCAATGAGTTAACAGATCAATTCAATAATCTATCATTTGTATAATTGACCCTTCTATCTTCGGAATTCGATAATGATAGTTATGTACTGAAACACAGTTGATTAGGAATTTCTAACTCTGTCCACTGACAAAACCTTTTATGTAGTATTTTGCACGTAAGTTATGTGTTAAATTGTTACCAACAATTGAAGCGCTGTGTGAATTGTTAGGCTACCCCACACAGTGGACAAGTATTTATGATATTTAATTTAAATTTTCAATTTTGATTTTGATTACAGCTTGATGCCACACCGTATTTTCAGTACAAGTATGGAATTTTCAGCGTATGATATCGGTAGCCCAAATTTGCAGGCCGACCATAGATATCGGGTGTGCGTCGGCAGGGGACGAACGAGTGTCTCCCCTGAAATGGTGGCGATACTGCAGGCCTAATGACATGCTAAATGAATGTTAAATATTCTCAGACTTATAATTTTTATTTAGTTGAGTCTCTAGCTTGAAGCCCTATGTTCCACTGGGAACGTGAAGGAATAAAAAAAATACATTACCTTAACAAATTTTGTTAAGATCCTTGGAATTTTTTTCGGTCATGCCGCTTTCGATGATATCCAATTGTTCGAATGATAACTGTGAAATGATTTGCATTTTGCATGATTATATTATTTTTTATATCATTTTGTAGGACAACAAAAATTAGGCTAGGAAGGAATTTATCAAGACCTTACTCTCAGAGTTTCAGTGTTTGTGGCATGCATCGTGCATTGAATCTGAGATTATATCTAATTTCTGTAGGTGAAATAATATGATTAAGGTCACTTACTAAGCAATATTCGGAGATAAAATAATCTAAATTCATAACTAGTTTCTGTTAACTTTAAGAAGTACATTTTTAACAAACTTATTTCATTCTAGTTTAAGATATCACAAAAAATTACTGTGACAGACAACCGATTTAAATGATTCAATCAATAAACTGAGACAGAGTGGTCCTTTTATTTATTTATTTTTAAGTAACTGATCCTTTGGAATAATATATATATATATATATATATATATATATATATATATATATATGTCTACTATCAAGGAATTCGGATCAATAACCTGCATTGTTCGATAGCTAACTGCACAGAAGTTAAATCCGACATCAGCTTGAGGTATTCTGCAACACTGAATCCGCATTTATTTAGTTCAAGATAAATTAGACATAACACACCCAGTTTTCATGACAGAAGTTAACAGATTTTGGTGAATATCAAACACACATTAACATTAACAATCAATGAGTACACACATAATATAAGAGAAAATTCAAGATTGGTGATTCATTTCTACTGTTATCGATTTGAAAAACAAACGAGGGTTAGGATGAGAGAGAATGAGTGAATTGAATGTGCAAATATGATGTGAAACCTATATAAATAAATATGAGTATGAAGTGCTTCAAGTAATTTGTATAATTCACATGAAACGATTTATGCAGATGTTCATAGATGGAGTGAGAACACGACAGAGAAGATAAATGCATCAGAGTACCTTCCATGGTGTAATGTGAAATTAACAACATAACTTATGCAGAGAATTGTTTCTAACGTAATACCATTATTGATTTTCACTCATATTGATGAAAACAAACGTTGGTTGTCCCATGAGTGACCACTTTTCAGTGAATGTCAACATCTATATGTCTCTCTATGTGTATAGTCATATATATTTACAGTTCATTTTTGTGGCTATCTCCAAATAACAGTCAAATTTTTTGAATATATATACACAAGCAGAAGACAGTACACTCAGTGGGACACATCAATAATGAGTTTCTCCTCTGAGAAGATAACTAGTCGTTCAAAGAAAGCATCGCTGAGAATTAGTGAAGAGATGTTCATTGATTGAATTTGAGTCAACGCTAAGCGAATACGGAGAACTTTACACGTATATTGCACAGAGAACTTGTCCAACTTATGCCTATACAACGTCTTTCTGAAATTTTTATTGTCTTGTCATTTTCGTGAAATCCACACGTGAATTCCTCACCTCCCTCATTTCTCTCGTCTGAAATCCACCTGTAGGTTGATGTGACTTCTGTCGAAGACATCACAAGTATACTATACTACATACCAAATCTCATGACAGAACACACACACACAAAACAGTTGAAGCGAATGAATCGGACTGATGGAAAATTGTCTCACCTACATCTCACTTTTGCAGTCAAGAACATGACGAGGCTGAGAGGCGAATTGAGAGACGGCATTGGCTGTGATGTGAATGCACCATCATATAACAGAAATGTTGTTTCAAATTGTGGCTAGTGAAATACCGTGTTGTTAGTGGATATAGCAGTTAGCTGGAATGCTGCACAATGCAGAGTAGCATATGAATTTAGAGGCGATAATTTTAGACGATAAATCTATCAGTGTTTTCATTGAAACGAACAGTCGGTTATTTGAAACAACCTTCCAAACTACATGAAAACTCTAACTAAATCTGTTTGTGCTGCTTACAATCTCCTTGAATCGTCTCATCTCATCTCTTACACGCATTCCATGTGTTGGTTTTATTTCATTACAGAGTGACCATTTCAATGGTTTCAGTTGTTTACAATTCTCCCCTCGTTCCAACATATTCACAGTTGAGGATAAGGAGTAAAGTGGAATGAATGACCTTGTTCATTCTGTCTGTCATGTTTCTCTGGCTTATTTATTTACACGATATTTCAAGTCCAACAACTTGATATTGATTCACTGCCTGAGAGAGATTAAAATCTAATTCATACATTCACTACCTTGAGCCTATTTGACCTTAGATTTAAGCGATTACATGAATTCGTCTCATTCAATAATATCGCTTTCTAGCCTGAGTTACATTGTTGTCGTGTTGAGTTAAGTTCTTCAGTGTATAGTCTTGTTTTAACGTCATTCAATCGGATATTTTGAACTATCGATGTGTCGGAACTAGCTGAAAACACCTTTCGGTATTTTGAATATTGGGTGAGACTATGTGAACTTTGTTTCCATCATTTGTGTTTTTCTAATACTTCTCTCTTTCGGATAATATATTCCTGTAGTTCACTTGTTGGTGTGGAAGCGCAAAGGATTCATACTTTGTAGTACGCTTTGATTTTGAAGACTTACACATGTTACCTTCGAGTTTCTTCGTTTTACTGGTAATTAGTGGAAGTATGCAACTCAAGGATGTATGTGTCTCTTCAAGTCAAAACACTGACAGAAAATTAAGCATAACCATTTGCAAGTGAGAGGATATTTAAACGCTTTAGTTGATTTCATCCATAACACCAAATTCGAATATTCTGTGTTATGTATATAAGCGTAGAATAGGTAATTTTGACGACGTACTTTTGGTATTTAAACCTGGATGTGTACTACTGGTATCCTGTGTTTGTCAGTGGAATTAGGTTAGGTTTTTTTAACGCATATAGTGCATAGTTATTTTGGTTGATATACCCGAATTCACTATACATATAGTTCTTTTTCTAGCCCGGAAACAGCTTGTGTGTTCTACATTATTATTTGACGAGAAAAAAGTTCTACTTCGAGAAAATATTTATTTCAAAATACTTCCATATATTTAAGAAAAAGGTCATAAAAGAAAAACAAAATATGTTGGACATACAAATATCACAGAGTTTGGGCAGAGGGTGTATAGGGAATCTGGTCCATATAAGAAGTCTAAATATTTCCAATCTCACTACAATCCAGCTTCTTTTAACGATTTCTCGGCGATGTCAAACTGGATTGTCTCCCAATTCCAACTTTGAGTAGGTGAGCTGTGGTCGCATTGAGTGACATAAACCACCAATTCTTTTGGATGACAATCTAAACAGTGTTGAGATTCCGGATGGATTATGTTCACAGGATTCTGTTTATTCCCATTCGTAGGCTTAATTTTCCAATGTTGATTACCACGCATTTCATGACATGTATATAAAAATATGGAAGCCTTGTCTTTAAAGTTAGGCACATCCAGACAGGATTTTCTGAAATACAAAATATGGTAGAAAGTGTTTAAATACAACTTTTATCATGATTAGGAGTGAAAATTTGAAACAGGAGAAAAGTCCTTTTAAGTAAATCAGTCAATGCTACGCATGTGTTTAAATTGAAGAACAAAGTATACAACGATATCTGACTGATTGAATACGTCGTGTTTCATTTCATATTTTAATTTATATTCCACATGTAGGGAAGTTGATCAGCTACACTAATAAGTAAATATATCCTCACTATAAAAATTTAAGTTATACAGACAAAAATAATAATTGCAGACACTGGTCAAGAAAAAGATATCAACGCTTGTTTATTTTACCTTTACAGACATGTGAATGCGAGAATCATTTTCACCTGATACAACTTGACCTTTTATTAACCAAAATCAGGTGATACTAAGCACGTGATCCGTGAAAGGATGACTTCTTACTCGAGGATTTGATGAACTGTTCAACCATGCATTCCATTAGTTTTTCAACTGGAATAATATCGGTGAATAAAGGATTCTTCACAATCAATTTAGTTACTGATGTTTCTAGACAGTCAAGGTGTGGAAAACATTGTCAACATGTTTATATCAAGTAAAAAAAAACAAATGCTTTGCATATGAATCTGAAAATAAAAATTTATACGGTAATAATAATAATAATAATTTGCTTTATTCCAAAATAGTACTTGTGATACAGAATAGAATTCTCAGCATTTTTACTGCAGTATTGTATCCAGTTAGTACATTATCAATAAATAGAATTCTACATAGATTAAGGAAATCTCAGTTCATTATGACAACATATTGGCATGTTGGTAGCAAAGCCAAAGCTGAACAGTGTTTGAAGGTGTTAGAAAAGTAGGTGCTGTCATATTTACTGGCGTAAGCGAGAGAAAGAAACAAAGCAGCACATAACGGAAAAAAAGAGAGGGAGAAAAGGAAAAGAAAGAAAGAAAATATTGTACCTAAAAATGATATGAGTTGGAAAGACGAGGTCCAGTTGTTCTACTGACTATTTAATGAATTATAGATGTCACGCCTAATGCTTTCTTTATCGCACAGAACACGAGCTAAGTAGGGTATGGTTGAGTTTTTGTACTTGCTGGTGCGAGCATATAGTTTCCTAAATAGGCTTCTGGTTTTACCTGATGAGATGCAAGGGGAGAGTTGTGAGTGAAGAGGGTGGTGTGAGTTAGATAAAATGGATACCGACGGAGCAGTATCCATGGGCCACTTAAGAAGACAGATTTAGTGTTCAATTCTCAAACGACGTCGAATTCAAACATAGCCTAATCGGTTTCAAATTGCGAAACATATTGCTAGCTTTCAGCGGTTGTAAAAAATTTTAATGACAACGGTTGATGACATTGAAATCCAGACATAAAGATAATCAAGCAATTCATGATATCATGAAGAAACGCCTATAAATAATGTCCAGGTAGAAAAAAGTTGCAAAATATTTGATTCATTTAAACAGTTTGGATAATTTCAAGACTTTCATTGTATAGCAGAACAGCCATATATATATATATATATATACTGAAAATCACATTAATGTTTTTACCTTTATAAAATATGCCGATGAAACAAACACAAACTTTCCACTGTCTCTTGTACAGGAGAAAACTAAAAAATTATACAGAATAACTAATAAGTTTTAAGAGACATAATGCAACAGATATAAGAATGGGAGGATACTTACAATTAACTGAGATTTCTCAGTAACACGTAAAATAAACAAAATAATTTTACAAGTTTAAGTGATTTGTATTATTATCACTTCACCATGGAAGCTACTGCACAAAAATCAGAAGTGTAGAAAACAGTATGTCTACCATATACGTCTAAACTAAGTTTACTTTTAACAGTTTGAACAAATTTGGGCATTTGGTTAAACGATATTATTACAATAAAGGTTTTTTGTATTTCTCAATGAATGAAAAACTGAGAGATATTGTTTTTACTGACGTTTCGCTATTTAATGCTGCTAATATCTTTATCAAAGTATTATTAAACCAGAATCTACAAAATCTCGGCTTATAGATAACAACTTAATCATCGTTCCTCAGCATAAGGTCATTTTTGAGTTGTCAAGTTGGCTGAGGATGATAAAGATAACAAAACCAGGTGTAGATTATTGGATTTGATAAATGTATAAAATTATAAAAGCAGAGTGTGTTTACACAATGAAATTGGCTATCACATTCGTGTTGACTTTGTCACTTCATGTGGGAGGTCAAAGTCTGTATTAGTCCATCATTCCTATTCAGACTATCTGGATTTCATCTGATATGAAGTGCTTCTGATATAAGACGCTCTTTGTGATTTCTGGATTTTTTCTGCATTATCTCATTATTTGGGTTTAATAGTTCGAACTACCAAACCTAAACTATGGATTCAAAAGAAGTTCGTACAGTCATTATCCCTCCCTTGGCCTATTAAGACAACCAACTGACGACTTCTGCACCACCCCTTACTTATATTTTCAACCCCTCTTTTATCATCCCTTAATCTTATCACATCTTCATTAAAAACGTATCTCATTATTGTTTAAATCAATTTTGTGACCTGATTCTCTAGTGTGTAGACCTATGGCTCATTATTTTTCAAGCTTTTCTAGTTCAACTGAATTTCTGGTTGGTCAAATAGATGCTCAACGGTGTTCATTTCTTCTAATTTTGATTTCTCGCGATGTTTTTCCGATGTATATCGGATCACATTCCAAGCATTTATTTTATAGGCACAGTTAGATAGAGAATCTTTAGGGATTTGGTCTTTTATATGGACAAGATTGCTTTGCAGTGTGTCTGTTTTGAAGAAAACTTTGATGTCGTGCTTGTTGAGTATTCTTCTGATATCGCCTGACGTCTCTGGTCTATATGGAATGACAACTGTTGAGGCCCATGTTTTCGGAATACCTTTTCGACCATATTTAATATCGGTGTTGATTTTACTGATGAAGTTCTTTGGGTGTTTATTTTGTCTACTAAGTAATAGATTTCGACTGAAAACGATTATCAAAAGACATCTTAATGCATATTACCAACCGAATGAAAAGAATGTACACCATCGAGAAGAAAATATAATAAAGACACACTTGTAGACAGTATTTATACAACAGAAATAGGAAACTGTGTAACTGATCTAGACAGCAGAAGGTAATACCAAAATAAAGTACACCACAGCAAATTCGCATCAATTATTTTATGGACCATATTGTGTATTCATAACTAAACGACTACATAATACTTTCATCTGTCAATCCCTATCGCATAGAATTAGTTGTGATTAGGGTAGATTAATACACAAGTCACATAGGTCATTACTGAAAATGCCTCTTGTCGATTAACCTTTAAAGTTGAGCTCTTGATATACATGTGCGTCGGTGGCACAGCGGTTAGGACTCTCGCCGACCATGCACATGGTTCGGGGTTCGATCCCCTGCCGACGCACAACTGATATCTATGGTCGGCCTGCAAAAATTGGGCTACCGATATCACATGCTGAAAATTCCATACTTGTACCAAAAATACTGTGTGGTTTCAAGCTATAATCAAAATTTTAAAAAAAATAAAAATTAAAAAATATTCTACAAAAATACAGGCTTGTTTCAAGCTTCAAAGTGTGCATAAAACCGCTACACACGCAGTGCAGTTTGTAATTTGAATGCTGATAAAAAAAATTACCTTTACATAATCACAATGTTAAGAAATGCAAGACTATTTGTAAAAGATATTTGGAAATTATAGCAAATATTCACCAGCAGTGTAAAAAACTTTGACTATGACAAACTTACAGAATATTGTACAGCTAAGTAGAGTTAGAGCGATATTTCAATCTGTTACACTTAGCAATAGCACACACATACACACCGAGGAAATTATTAAAGGTAGGAATAAGTGTTGACCGAGTCTATCTTGTTAATGATAGTGTATATGAGTATATTTTAGGCCTTAGAAATTTTACACTTTCTAACAAAATCCAACGAAAAGAAACAAAGCGAAGAATTCAGTTATCATAACATAATGAAATTATTGAAAAGATGTTAGTACACAGAATACTGATAGCGATTGTGCACATACATGTGTATTTTTCACACATACAACGTAAGCTAAACAATAGCGCTAATACTCATACGCATCGAGATATATACAAAAGGAAAATGAGATGAAACAAAAAGCAACTAAGTAATAGTACAAGAAGCAATGGGTAACATGAGTATACCAGAGTCTTGATTACTTATGCAATAAGCCATAAACAAGCGGTTTCTTACAGAATATGAACACATTTTCGTTTGGAAATGGTATTCATTATGAAGCTATGATATACATACTAGAATCAATATTACAAGACATTTCTTAAGTGACTGAAGTATTTAAAACAAATAAATCAATCAATAAAGTTGATGGAAACTATAGGCACGAAATTCGAAGATATCATCATAAAAATGAATTAGAAGTCATAATCATTGAATCGATGCTCAAGTTAACTTTGATTCGTAAAAATCACTTTGGTTAACCTAGTATTAGATTATTAGAGGCAATTGGCAGGAAGCTTTGGATTTAGGCTTCTTGTTTACTGGCACTCATCAACAAGGTGTACCTTAAATCCATACCCTTGGATAACTGATTACTCATTAGATTCAAACATAATGATTCGAATGTCCTATCTCTACCATATTTCAGTTCCGTGTTTCAAATTTCCAAATATTCAACGGTGAACAGTAGGAGAAATATGTTGAGTTTTGTAAACTTCAAATGACCAGAACAAATTAGCTCGAATAGTAGGTGAAAAGTCACTCGAATCAGAGAATATCTAAACCACAGATACAATGAAGATAACCGCAGCGTACGACCACTGAGTACTACCCTTACCACTTTTATTGATTGGAATATTTAGTTATGTAGTTTGAAAATCACTGGAATCTGGGTGCTACGACTCATTTGAGAAAGGATGATATTTGAAATCAATGGGCTTCGTTCCACTTGCAAGTACATCAATTGAACCGATTTTCATCAAACTACTGAAAAATGTGACATCTTTATGTTCGGTTAATCATTACTATTTATCGATGTCAGAAATAACAACTACAATTTTGTGTTATCTCAAAAATGTTCTACAATTATCCAGTCAAACAGCTAAACAAATAATATGCAGTCAGTTTTCGATGCTGGCATTTACTTACTGTATTTTATAAATGTTTCAGATACAACTGCTGCATTATGCTTTGGACCTATTGTCATTCCCAGTGATGGACCATCTAGAGATATGTGAATAAGTGATGGTGTGTTAGATGACTGATATTTCAACATAGAAAGTGCACAGAAATTGTAACACCTCAAGAAAGTGTGACACTGACACAGTAAAAATCGAACTAAAATCGATCATTCTATTTATTCCCTCATGCTAGTATATCTCTAAGTTTTCATACACGATATTCCAATCTGTCCGTCAAAGTGTAATATGCGTGAAATGAAGGAAATGAAAAGGACTACAACTCTTGAAAAAGGCGATAAGACAAATTACTCTGTCATACTACACCCTTACAGAAATTAAATCAAAACATCAAAATTAAAGATTTGAACTAACTTGTTCATGATACGAATATCTTCATGGTAATTGTACACAAAGTTTTGAACACCACTTGAACTACGCCTATCTTTAATGCAAGGGCGTAATCTAAGGGGAACATTTTCGGTTGCTCCTAATGCATCCAAACATAAAGACGGATCAGCAACAGACCGTATTTCTCCAACAGCCGTTGGTACTGGCTCAATAAGAGGATATTTTTTTACTAAATCAAATGCGATTTCTGTCATAAACCACTTGAAAGATTTGCATTGAAGTCGCTTTCGAAGTTCATGTTGTTCAGATAAATCACCAGCATCTACCTTACGATATTGCGGTTGCCTTCTATACACGTACTCTTTGTATTCATCCATCCAAACTTCTGCAACACGCCTGAAAAGAAATTAGTAACACTAAAAGGATGGGATGCATGATATGTGTAATATCTAAATTCTTATGTATTCCCCCATTAGGAATAGTCCAATCGAATTACGACTGTTCACATTATTTTACTGTTTTACTGGCTCAAAAAAACTATTCGAAAAATAAAAATCATAGGAGAAACAATAGAGGAAAAATGAAGTAGGCGTTTGAATTCGGTTTGTTTGTTAGCAAAATTTCTCAAAAATATTAATCTAAGCTTGACAGAGTTGATTTATTTCAATCCATCAAACACTGTACGTCGGTACAGGCACTGACTAGAAGTAATAAATATGTATGGCTAACTTAAGTCGATACCAACGTCAACAAAACAGGTACTCAATATACAGTCCGATTTAGATACCAATCACTAGACACTCATAGTGCTGTTTGAATCGGTAATTTAGCAGCCTATATAATCGTATACATTCGTGCGCTGTCTAACTGATGAAAAACAAAGACAAAGCAAAATAAGTAGAAAAATGTACATAGGTAAAAACAACTATTTTAATTATTATGTACAGGTGAGTTTTGTGTCGTTTGAAGCACGTGAACAGTTAGTATTTTAAACCTTGCAGGTCAACGAGATATGTGGTCATATGTGATCTTTTTAAAACTGTTAATCCTAGTAGAGTTATAAATGTATTTGGAAAAAAACACAGAGAGGGAGAAGCAGAACTATGGGGGACTGTTGTTGTAACCATTCGTACTCCGACTGACCAAAGATGGGACCACCTTACTACAGTCATACAATTGTATAGAAATCAGTACGTCTTCGACCTCAGCCTTTCCATCATATCATAACATATATGACAATAAAGACTGGTTAGCCAAGTTGCACTGCTCGCCCAAGTCAGAGTCGGCGGCCGGGATTTGAAGTCAAAACCCATTGATTGAAAGTCAAGTACTTCAGGTAGTAAGCCGAATCTTCAATGCATGACAAGTGTAAAAACAATCAATTAGATTTTCCTGTGTTTGAAATATGGTTTTAAACCACTAATACTTTTTACTCGACTGTACTGAGGTAGAGGAACAGACACAGATTTTTACAGTTGATAATGCTAAGTTAAAACGTATGGTGCAGCAAAAGGAAGTAGTTCCCACTGTAGCTGAAAATAAGTGACACTAGCAACAGAATCGAAATGATTGGTGTACTTTATTTAGATTCCGAAGGCGGTGGTATTCAAAAGCCATTTGAAAGCAAAAGGAGAATCGGTTTAGTGGCATTAATATTTTGCATGGTTACATTTCAATGTAAACATATACTGCTAGTTTGATAGTCTTCATTTCCCATAGGTTTATGCTGACAGCAATTATAAATGCAGCCTGGCAAATCTACTCGAGTAGAATTCCTTCTGGGAGTTATCTTATAGCCAGGTTAACTAATCCATCAAAATTAGTCTATGAAAACATCTGAAACAGGTAACTGTTGGCTGGTGATTTCATGTATTACAAATCACAACCCATATGGATTTAGTGGAAATTAACAGGAGAAAAATAACTACGTTGAGAATAGTGAGGAATTGTTAGATCTGGGAGTTCATTGAACTTACTGCATCAAATCAAAATATGCATCAATCCATGGAGTTTCTGACTGTTGGCTTCAATTACGTAGGGAGTTATAGATGGTCTGACTGGGGTCTTTGAGATACTAAGAACTAATGGCTAGAGACTGTTGATTCTATAACTCAAAATCGTTTCCAATGAAGCAGATGCATTCATTCTTCGTGATCTCCCATATCCACTAAACCGCCATGTCTTCCCACATTACTTTTCTTTCTCATTGACGTTTCTGCTTACTTTGGCTTTTTTAGAAGTCTTTTTCCTACATGTGCGCTACATAGAGTGAGATAATTTGAACTGCTGCACTTCTGGGTCAGTTCTGCAATTGACAGACGGATACCATGTCTACGCCAGATAACCTAAGTTGGCAAATGTCAAACGAGCCTTTTGCATCCGAGCTAGCCAACACAATCATTTCACTCTTTATTGTTAATCTAAGAAGTGGTGCAGACCAGTCATGTAGCGTCATACTAAATTTCATATACTCCGGATTCTGCTCAAAAGACAGCACTTTCACCCAGAAGTACCTCGTCTGCATATTGTAGATCGGCCAGACTGCTTTTTGGCACCAGGTATATATCAAGTACTATACATGTGATTAAGTGAAATAAAAATGGGGATATTTGGCATCCCTGATTGTTACCACTGGTTACTACCACTTAAGATGACAAATCTCGATAAGCACTTAAGTGACTGTTTTCAATCAGAGTGCCTTTATTAGAACGATATACCTTCTCGGCATTTTTTAGGACAGAAGTTGACACATTGACACTCAACACTAACAAGCGTATTAAATCACTAGGAAATACAAACTAAGACAGTTTGGTACATCTTTTAAGGAAATAACTAATACGTAAAGCAGGCAAAACTTACTTATGATTTCGAGTAACAAAATTTCCCAAATCTGCTGCGGGGAAGTCAGTGTGGTACTTACGATAAATGTGACCTATTCTTGAACATGGAGCATCAACCATACGTCCTCCGCACATCCATATCTTGAACGACAGTTCATACTGTTCCCCACCCCAAATAACTAGACCAGGATCATAACCTCCTAGCTCCCAAAACCATTTGGCACTAATTGCAAACAAACCTCCTGCCATTACTGGGCTGTCAAAAGGTTTTTCGGGATGATTGCTATCCTCTGGTAGGCGCGGAAGTCTCTTATAATATAACTCCCAATCAAATGCCCCACGGGCACCTTCGTCTTGTGCGCGATATTCAAAGGTATCAGCATCTATAACATCAATAAATGGGCACACAACGGTTCTGTAATTCTCGGCAATTGGATCCAGTAGGGGTGGAAGCCAGTTGGTACTAGCCTCACAATGAGAATCTAGGAATATTAATACGTCCCCAGTAGCTTCCTTGGCACCAGCCAACTTGGCTCGAATAAGACCTTCCCGCTTCTTCAAATGAATTGCACGAACTTTACCATCAGGATAGGCAGATGCAAGAAAGTTGTCAAGTTTGTCCTTTAAATATTCCCGCAAACTCCCATCATCAACTAGAATCACTTCTTTTAATAACGTTGAAGGTGCTCGATTTATAACCGATGAAACAGTTCGTAGGAGAGTTTCCCAATGTTCATTAAAAACAGGAATTATTACCGACGCTTTTGGAAGCACACTTGAGTATAAAGTTCCTTTACATTTAGGATGCCGAATGTCTTTAACGGATCTGTCTACCTTAATTTTTTGGCTGACATATATACTGAAACCGTTCATATTTTGGGTCCTAACTGACATCTCCTTTTCTTCAGAAGACAGCCGAACAGCCATCCCATTTTCCCCAGGACCTCGTCTCGATCTCTCTATTGCAGAAAAAGTGTAATTCTCCCAGTCAATCCGCTCGGCTAGTTTATACTCTTTGTTTAATGATGACAATTCATTAGCATTCTGATTTTCTGATTTAGAAGGGTGGTTTCCAACAAACTTGCGGTAAAGACCAACCATGCAAAATAGAATAAGAAAACATAGTAAAGCTGAGCGAGCCAAGCGAACAGGGTGCAGTCGCATTATACACCTGTAAAAGGCAGTCTTCAACACGAAATACCACGATGTTCTAAGTAGTCAAGGTCAAATTTATTATCGCACTCCACTTCAAGGACACATTTCAACATACAATGTAGTTAGTTATTTCAGTAACTAATATTAACCAAAATGGACTACATCGTCGGTGATTTTTTGAGTTTTCATTTCCACTATTCACTTGATGTAGCGCATGTAGACGCTGATGGAAGCAGAATTTTGGTTATTTCTGAAGGATAGGTTGTGGTCTGTTTTAGTAGGAAATCAGTTTTATGATCGGAATAACTTATTCTCCTCGTTAGTTGTCCACTGTGGTCAAACTGCGACGATAATAAAAACAATATTTTTGTCTGCGCGAAAACGTCTAGATACATGCGTCGGTGGCACAATGGTTAGGACTCTCACATGCACATGGTCCGGCGATCGATCCCCTGCCGACGCACAACTGATATCCATGGTCGGCCTGCAAAATTTAGGCTACCGATATCACATGCTGAAAATTCCATAGTTGTACTGAAAATACGGTGTGGCATCAAGCTGTAATCAAAATAAATAAAATAAATAAACAAAATAAATAATGAATTAACAAATTAAGGAATAAAGTGCTAAAAAGACAAAGTGAGTCAAAACAACTGTGTGACTGCTGGGGATGCCAAAGAGTTAGTGCAGAGGTGGAGGACTGGAAGTCATAAAAAGTGGGAGCACGCTTGAGACTCGCCAAAACATAACATATCATTCGTAGATTGTTGTGAGGCAGCCCAAGGTGACAGAATCACTTTTGTTGATTCAAGTCATTTTGATCTTGCAGCGGTGGTTAAGTCTCTCCTAATCCCATGGTATCTGACAGTTACAATGCTTACTTTCCTTATCCTTTCGCTGGTCTGTTCCCTCTCAAAGCCTCGTCGCGCTCTACTCCCCTTTATTGCATCAGGAAGCAGTGGATATATAATGTTATACGTCACGTCGTAGTCTTGCCCATAGGTTTTGTAAAGCCCGAGGAAGGGCTATGTATGCGCGAAGGATGTAACATGTGTTCTAGCTGTGACACCTGAAAAACCTGCACTTGTACCAAAGTTTTGTGTAAGATGAGATTAAATCTCGCTGTAAGCTACACAGAAAGAGATATAACTATATTGAAAGTAAGCCATTCCCTCCAGTCGTAGTCTGTACACTAGGATGTTTTTGTCTTTTGGGATTGAAAAGCTCTTTTGTATTTTATATTCAGTATTCCAAAGTCCGTAAGTCTATCTGCAGCACGCACTATTCCTTCAGACACGCTATCACTCTTTAAGTCTTTATTTGGCTTGCACAAAGGAAAGCTGGATATTTTGAAATTCATGTTAGGTGAGTAGTGGACACCATGAGCATCTAGGTAATCTTCGAACTCCGAGAGGAGTGGACTGCTAATACTCAACTGATCTATTTACGACGGAGAATGCCACGTTATACATAGTCGGACGCATTTGTCAAGCCAAGGAAGACAACACAGACATGGGTATTCTTGGGGTAGCATGATGTCCAGCAATTTCATACTAGCTTCAGATTTGTTTTGGAAAATCTACCCTGGCCCTGAAACAGTGTTCTCCTTACTAGGGTTTGTTGTTTCCACTAAGGCGTCTTCTAATTTAATTGTAAGGCCTACTAAACTTGATGGAAGGCATGTTTGGCTTCAGGTGGTCGAACAAAACGGTGCACTGGTACCGACAAAATAGTTTCTTATGTTCTAGCATGCTACTGATGCGCACGGATAATTCCATGTTAACAAGGCAGTTTGTGCAGTCTTTGAATCTTGTAGTCTCCTAGAAGAATTTAGTTACACTCCACTGCTTCAGAGTACCATTTTCTGTGCCAAACTCATAGGACTGTACATACTAATGGGTGCAGTCGGTTTGTAAGTAAGGTTTTTATTAATTCCCAGTCTCACTACGTTACTTGGAAGGAGTTAGTGTTGAGCCTTCCCTCATACTGGCGTCTGCAGGTTTAATTCGACAGTACTCATAGAAATGACACATATGATTGCATTCATGGGGTAGAGTGGATATATGTAACGTAGGTAACCATTTCTATAAAGGTGACGGGTGCTAATCTTCCACATTATAAGAAGATTAGAATTCCCAAGGAGACACTCCTAAATAATGCATTTCATCCTTGGAAACAGACAATGCTTGTCAGTATTCAAAGTTAGGGGACCCTATACACAACAAAATCAACATTAGGCCATACCGATAACCAGTCTCCTTAAACCTTTAGTTCATAAGCTTCACAAAGCTACGTTAGACCTAGTATGTGAAATATCTATCTTTGTCATTTTATATGGAAATTTATTCATATAGTGAAATCCATTCACTTTTGCACCGAACACCAGATTGTGACATCGTAATAGGAGGATAACGAATGTTACAATCTGCGAGTGTGTCCGCTCTCATAAAGGCTCATTAACCGTGCCTCCTAGGATTACAAATAATGTAGACAAAGACAAAAGCCTTCCATCTTCGAAGCCTCGCTAATAAATGTCAGCAAAAACCAGTAAATTGTTCTTGTTATATTTCAAGATCAATGAATTTTCAAATAGAAGTCTGTGGTGCTAACCGGCAGACTGTCCGTTCTTATGAGGTATCATCTTTCAGAAGACGAAAGGACTGAGTGGAGAAATATTTATTTGTCAGTTAGATCCTCATCTCCAGTTTCTTCTTAATATATCTACATATGTAGCATTTTTAATACGATACAAAAAATTTACCAATGTAGGAGCGATAAGTTTGCTAGAGATAATTGCTCCAAATCTCGTGTCAGGAGAGTGCTGATGATTACCAAGAAAATTAACAAGAAAATAATGAAAGGTGCTAATAATTATGACAAGTGGATCGGACAATACATGATTTTGGAAAAAGAGTAGTAAACGAGTGTTCAAGCTGATCGTGTAATAAGCAATCAAATGTGAAGCAGTGAGAAAAATGAAATCGTTCGGACAATGGTTGCTTGCAAAGTTTTTGGGGGTAGGGGGAAACTGTTAGCTTTTTACGTTCACGCAAGGTAAGGAAAGTGACTGCACATATCTCTTTTCAACACAAGCTAGTCTTCTCCTGGTGGATTCCGACAGCTTCAGCTGCATGCGACAGACAAGCTAGTAAAGCAAAATTGATATAAGCAAAACTGTTAGTTCCCACGACGAATGCTTCCAAATAGGACACCAGATATGTGGACTTTCGTGGATAGAGAGGTAGTGACGGTAAAATCCAGCAGTCATCGAATGACCCTGAGCGATCAATCATAATAAAGGAAAGCAAAATTGTTGACCTGAGAATAAATTATGCCTTAAAACATATTGACTTCTTGACTCGCGCGGGTTGATTCGCTCACATGTGCGGTGGGAAAACTTCCTGGTTTGTCATGGTTAATTCTGTGGAAAATAATCGTCAACTCCCATATATGAATTCACACGTATTACTGCAACTGAGTGCATTTCGGAATTCATTTATTGGGGGATTCTTTTGGTTCAAGCTACGTCGAACCCTTGCCTCTCGAATAAACTGGCACGGATGCTGGTAATGGTATCTGCAATTTTTCCTATGTGATGAACTTGATGATGCATATATGCTGAGTAACATAACCCGTCCCTCTTTATTGTGGCCCCATCCAAAACCAATATCCGTGTGATTGGAATGCCAGTGTACTTTTAGTAGCAACTGTTTCTTAAAATTCTTTCTTTGGAAAAGTCATTAAGTCCCGATACCTATATTTGATTTTCATTCTTCCTTATCTGCTATGCTTGTTTCTGCTAAAGGGAACTTCAGCTATTTTCTCAGACCCTTACGTCTTCCACAAGATAACTAACTGCTAAGTTCACACTAGGCGACACGTTTACAGTGTTGTACCATCGCACTGTGGAAACTTTACTGTTGTCTCTTTCTGCCGATGTTGAGACGTCTATGTTTATGGCCATTAACCGAACCACTATGCTTCCAATCAATCCATCACCTGTATAGGATGGAAAAAAGGATTGAAAGTTTACTGGCGACGCAAGACATGCTCAGCAGATTTGATTATTGATATAACGCGTTACCGCAAGGTTATTATCAAAATCCCTAGTGGCGGGTACTATTCCGTGACTTCACTGTCCTAATATTAAAGTTTGTATAAATGCCCGTCTACCTGTTAAGAGGTTGATGTGAAGGATTGGGAAATTAAATTCTCTTAGTCATGGGTAAGCAACAGTACTTACTAATCAAACAGTTAAGAGTGGTAGTACAGCAACACTTACCCATGCCTATGCAATTGGTGTGTTCCTGCAGACAGGAATAGGATATATATTATATTATATGAGACGGTGTCTAAGAGAGGAGATGGGAATGAAGCCGGGTAGAGTAATTTTAATGAGTGATTGATGGCAGAAAGCATTAAATTAGTTTCAGTAATCTCAGCATTGGCACCACCCATACAAAGTGAACTTCATTCTGCAATGTTAAATTCCAGTAACCATGTTTAATACTGACTGTTGACCATCTTTGTTACTTCCTGTAGACAGTGTACGGTTGGCCAAAGGTCACTGTCCGAGTATCTGTGCGTCATTTTTAGCAGTCTGAGAATGAAACTGGCTTACCTACTCTGAATTATTTCCACACACTATTTGCGCAGATTATAAAGAGGAGGAGGCTGAATACGCGACCCTGAATAACAGTGTTAATTGTTGACTTAGGCTTCGCGGTGATTGGGCTTTTGTTCAATGAAAACCGAACAGCAGTGCGGCACTACTACTCCAAAAGGTAGACCATACTTTGTGCTCATGTTGCTCAGGAAAGTGAACCTTTCTACAACCTCTCCAAATCCAACTGACTCTCTTAAAACCGAATATATGTGGAGTATTTTAGAAATCACTGCTATATGATTGAAATTTTCGGGAATGGATGTTGTACACAAACCAATAAAGGCCTTTCACTACATGTTCAGTAAATCAAAAGACGGAAGATACAAAATCTTCAGGAAAATCTCAATCAGTTGTGAAACTTTTATCTCCGATGTTCCCATCAAAACACAGGGTTTCAAATTTTAAAGTTTGAGGAGCAATGGATTCAAGGCTCCATCCT